CTTTTTTTCCATATTCACACTCATGTTCTTTGTCACTGAAACTGCCTCAGTTTTTTCTCTTCTTAAAACATGTGCTAGCACTCTCAATTTATTCTCACGCAATTTTTCAACTCGTGTAGTAAATATTATAATATACTAAAATATGCACTGACCTAAATAACATATTATAATAAGATACGGTGAATTCTAGCAATATTATTTATCTGTTTTTAAATTTAGCCACTGTCGTCGCTGACCTCTAACCCGACCAATAATCCATCTGCAGACGATACTAGGTGTAGGAAAACATCGTCGAACGGGAGCACTGCAACACGTCTTGTAAACAGGTTCACATGGTTAAAGACGGATACTGGTTTCAGAATGAAATGCAATTTTGGCCCTATAGACGAATGTCAAGGAATCGTAAATTGAAATATTCCATACGTTTTATCCACATAAAATTTTATGGAAACTATTCGATTTTGATCAATCTATTTCAGATAGCATCGGTTGTCGTTAAAAAAACCGGAGTGACTGAGTACTGGTTTTACAGACGAGGATTCCTTTCCACCATTCATTACAAAGAGACGTGAACAATAAATTAAAAAATCAAAAAATCACACCATTATTTGTATAGGTCGTATTATATTTTTACATATGGTTTATCTTTTATGTGAGCGAATCGATCATGTTTACATAACTATAAGTTTTTAACACTTCCTATATATTGTTATTTAATAAAAATAGTGAATATTGAAAAAAAACGAATTACCACGTCTCATCATATTATTATAATCTTATAGGTATAGTTTATAAAGTTATAACTATAGAACGATACAAAACATGTTGGACATCTCTATGATACATTAAATTATAATAGTTAAAAAATTCGTTAGGAATAACTATACAATTTATTTAGACCTATAGACGTGACGATGCAATATTGAATATTTAAGTAGCCACCTTTTTATATTATAGGCACTATATTCACGTGTACCGTTATCGTGGTACTTACAAAAATGTTCAAGAAAATAATATTTTTTGATTAAAATAATATGAAAGTTGTGCCATCTTAATATACCTACTAATATAATACTGCACTGTATTTTTCACTAGTTTTAAAAATCTAATATTATTTTCGAGATACATCAAAGTTTAGTCGGTTGGTAAAATCAACCGTTTTTCGAGGTCATCTTGGAAACTTTTTTGTTTTTTTAGAAAATAAGTATGGTAGATTATTAAAACTTAAAAAATTGTTTACTGTTTAACAAAACGTATTGTTTAACCTTAAGATAAAAACGTTATTTATGACCATGAAACGTGTAGTCATATTGCTATTGGCGTTGTTTTCAGTACCTATTTATCATAGTTAGGATTTGGAAAACAATTTTAAAAGTGATATGTTAATCATATGAATCAAATAACCTATATCTGTTCAACGAATATAATTGGCATCGTCATTAAAATAATCAATTTTAGAATTGCTGAAGATGGTAAAATAGCGGAAACCTGGTGTAAATGATATCTTATTTAATAAGGTATTTAAAGTTAATTTAAATAATATTTTCTTGGTATAAAACAAAAAAAGTAAAAACTATTTTCAAATTATTTAAAATATAAAAATAGTTAAAAAAGGATATAAAATATATGTAATATCGGACTTAGTTCCTATGTATTTATTATATTTGAATTATTTTTTATGCTATATAAATATTAATAGATTAATATAAGTCATTACATTTTTTAAATTATCATAGCCCTTATATTATCTGATCATACACAACCCCAACTCAAAAACTAATCGTTTGATAATGATACGTTTAAATATTTAGAAAAATTATACTCTAAATATTTTTGTGTAGACCAGGGAAATTTTTATTTGAAAAACAATTGATCTTTCCTCAGGACACTTCTCAAGTAGTAGAAAAAAAATTCAAAAATATGAAAATATGGTGTTTAAGAATATTATTTGAAAATATAAAAAAATCAGATTTTGAATTTGTGCATTAAGTGGTATGAATAAAAAAAAGGTTATTTTTTATAAAGTTTATGAATATGCGTCTAGTGGACAGTTTATAAGAATATTGTTTCCAAAAAAGTTTTAATTGAAGAGCTTCCACCGTAATATAATCATCCTAGGGAGATATAAGATATAATTATTTTAGGATGGTTCAACATGAATTAAAATTTAAAACTTTTAGCTGATGTTCAGTTATTAGAACAAATCATCCCAAGGCGGCGGTAAATATGCAGTCACATAATCTATTTTTGTCAATAACTCAACTTGCATAAAATATTAAAACATGAATTTTAATTTTAATCAATACAATTTATTTATGATTCAATGAGACAATAGAATAGACAAATAAAGAAGAAGCCAAATGGGTTGGCTATGGCAGGGCGTAATACGTTTCCACCAAAAGTAAATCTTTCTCTTTACCACCAATACCTGTTTCCACCTAAGGTGTATCTTTCCCTTTTCCACCAATAATTAAACCACGGTTAATTTACTAAAATAATTTGTATACTACGCTTATATCAAAATCTTTAACACAGTACAGTTATAAGTTTATTCAAAATGCTTATGTTGGATTGAAAAAATGATATATTAGTGTATTTAGTTATGTATATATTGTATCTACTTATATATATATATATATGTATATAATTGGTTGATATGTTTTTTTCAATCGTAGAATATAGTAGTATACTCGTACAGTCGTACAATTGTTTTTGTAAAAACGTGGTAAATAGTCTTATTTGGTGGAAAAGGGTATTGGTAGAAAAAGGAAAGGTACACATTTGGCGGAAACGGGAATCGGCCCTATGACACTCTATAATCTCTCCCTATTGTGCATGGTCCTTGGATCAGCATAGGAATACTAAAATGTAATTTATTGACTTACTGTGATCTTAACCGAAGTATTTGAATAATAAAATAATGGGCATAGCCGTTTTCGACCAAAAACGTACCTTTCCCTTTTCGGCCGATTCACTTTTCGACCAAATTTAAAAAAGACTGATTCCCTTTACGACCAAAAACAAATTTTTTTGTAAAATTATGGCAATCATATAATTATGTAATTTTGACAAATTATTAAAAGTATAAGTTGGTACTGAATARTACCAAGAAATTTGAATTCGATTTGAAAAACCTTCAAAATTTAAATAAATGAAATAATAGGGATAATTTTTAGTGTGTGTGTAAAATTAATATCGTTTTGTAAATAATTTTGTCGCGAATCGTATTTTTACGAGTATTGTTATTTTACAACATTTTATGCAACTTATAAAAAACTATATTATGTAGCAGCAATTATTTTATTTTTTTTACATATATTATATAAATTTTTGTTTTGGCCGAAAAGGGAAGGGTACATTTTTGGTCGAAAACGGTCTCGCCCAAAATAATCTTATAACCAGGACGTAAGTCTTTTCTTTTCCGAAAGTTTCCACGCTGCAGATGCCTGGTGAAATTTAATTTGAATATTATCTAGGGTACACTGTTATAGTGCGGAGATTTTCACGTCACCAGACGTCTAGGGACACCCTTTTCGCCGTTAATTGACTACGGGTCGATTGACAATGACTTCGGGAGATTCGATGAGACGCATATCCAAAATCGTATTAATATAATATAATAACGACGGCACGTAACTAATAAATTGGAAACCGCTGCACTTTCCGCTGTTTGAGAGTACGTATAGACTTACGTCGGAAGTCATGTCGTCGATCATATTATTATATAACGTCTTTGACTCATACCAATAAATATATATGTATAAAATATATTTGTGTATATATATCGGGTGATTCATTTAAAGCAAAGAAACTCATAATTTTAAAAACTACTAACGTTTCTGAAAATACATTTTTTAATAGTAAAATTGTTAGTTGTTTAAAAACAATTTTTTTTACATTTTTTAATGAAAATTTGCATTTTTAATTTCTTATTTCTCAGTAGAATAGTTTTTCCAGTATTTCAATGTATAAAAATCGCAGTTTATGAGTTATAACTTATAAGTATTTAATGTTTAAACGAGCGGAGAGGATGAGAGTACAAGGGTGGAAAATGTTGCATTCTCTAAAATTTGATATTTTTTATATCGAAATAGGTACTTTCTTTCACAATATTAATTAATTAATAGTAAACATGTATGTGTTCGTCGAACATAAAAAAAACTTAAACAAAAATAGCGATAACAATTAATAAAATAAAAATCAATATTAAAAAAGAGATATGAAATTTCAAAAATGTCAAAGGGGAAATTTCTGAAGTTGAAAAACTAAATTAAATTTTTATTTTTATTTTGAAGTAATAATAACATTGTAAAATATCGTATTAGTTTAAATATTTTGTTTAACTTTTAATCGTAATTAATAAGTACAGAGGTAATGATAATATTTAATATTTTCCCAACAGTGAAGCATTCGCAATATTGTTATTTTACCACCAATAAAAAAAAAAAATATTTTTTTCTAAACGTGTTATTTGGTAGCTACCAACTTATAATTAACATATTTTGAAATAAAAAGTCTCTTTTGTTAAATGCATCTGTCCGTAGATATACACAGACCGCGGTATATAGCTATATGGTATGTATACATGAATATAAATCGTAGTCGACACGCGACCATTGTAGTATCGTTGTCGTTGAGGTGTCATATGACTATTATCGATCGACCGACAGAACTAAAATCAACGATTCCGGATCGAAAAGCGTTTAATAATAATAATAAAATGAATTTTGTGAGCGTAATCGGGCCGGCTGTAAATCACGGCGGTACGGCGATATATGTGCGACCCATATCCATACAGTATAATGTATAATATTGTTTTGTATTTGTGTACATATTATATTATATTATACAGCGCACGAAAATAAAAACGCTTTTAAAGTATTGATTTCAGCAAATAATTCCATATAACTGCGAGACGACTGCATAATCCGCCCGCAGACTTTTGTACGTGCGATCTCGAAACATTTTTACATTACTCCTGTTTTGAATTACATGTTTCTTAATCCGGCTGCAGTCGAGCCCAAGACGGTTATAGGTCGGTATTTCTTATTCTTTCACTGTCTTTTTCCCTCTCTCTCTCTCTTTCGTACTGTCTCTCCTCTCTTTATTTTTGCTCTTTCCCCCACCCAACGTTTCAGTGGGGAGGTGGGGCGTGGTGAGTTATCGATATATATATATATGTATGTATATGTATATTCCGTATATCTGTATGAACCAAATAAAACGTAATTTTTTTTCGAACCCCGCCATTAAACTCGGATTACAGAAAATCGTTAAACGTACCATTGTAATGTGTTACACAAATATCTGGCGATAAAACCATTCGTTCTATTTCGCTATTGATGGACCAAAAACGAAAAACTAACATAACTCATCACAAAGGCCTCTTTTTTCCAATGTTTTTTTTCTTGTCAGTCTATCGTCAACCATGCTCGAGAGGAGGTCGTTCTTAATTAACTCTTAAAGGCTGTGTTTTCATTTATATGTATATGAACACAACCAATTGATTGTCTGTCCAAAATATACCGTAACTCGAGCGTTTAACATTTTTCGCCACTGGTGGTGAGAATAAACAACTAAACAACGATTATAATGAATGAGAAATAGTTCAATGTTTGGAGAAAGAATTCCGCGTTTTACAATATGTATGTCTGTTAAAATTAAAAACTAAAAATTGTCTACGCTCTTTCATTTTGTTAGTAAAAATATGGCCTTCTAAAATGTGCCGACGATATTACAGACAAGGTCTGAGGCGAATTCTATCCCAAAACTCGACCGTAATTTAATTATTGACATACAGCTCATTACATTGTATATGCAACAACGCAGTTTTTTGTATACTTTTTAACGATTCAATGCTTGTCCAGATGATATGTAAATTATTTTAAGCGTGATTTTTTTCCCATACGCATTAACGTCATCGCAAAACACTAGATTGGATTGTATAAAAATAATCAATGAATACACAAATATATATTTTGTAAATTGTATTCCGAGATGGGTACTTCAAAATCTAGAATATTAAAAAACGTTATCCATAATCGAACGAGTAAAAAACGCACAATACACGATAGTATAAATAATTGTAAATTGGTTATTCATATACCATTAGAATAGTTTGTTAATTTTTTGCACAATATTATGTTTATGTAATTACAACATTTAACGTAGGGTGACCATACGTCCTATTTTTAACTGGATTGACCTTTATTTCAGGGTCGTGTCCTGTTATCCTGACAAACTTCTTTCAGGACGCTTTTTGTCCTGTTTTTTTGATCAAACAAAATGAATTTGAAAACGTAACTTACGAAAGTAATGAATTATGATTATAATTGTAATCTTGTGATTGTCTGAATTTATCAGTATGGGCAGCATGTCTACGAGTTATCGGATTGACCATTATCAGACTTTGCTTTCGATTCCCTTTTGTTTATTCTGCATTAAAACTACGAAAATCTATTTATATCACTGAAATACTTTTTGTGAATACGGTTATCGTTATTATAGCGAATAGCTATTAGTTTGGTCCCAACAATCGTTGAATGTTGTCGACTTGTTGATAATCGTTCCCTAATTAATATTTTACAATTTTAGGAAAGTAATCTATTAAAATGTCTAAGCAAAGATGCGTATTTACACCCGGCTTGAAAGTTAAATTTCCGTTTTTAAGAGATAGTGATAAAATCGGAAAAGTTTTATGTATTGTATGTAAATCAGTTTTTCAATACAAAATGGTGATCCTTCAGATATTACACAACATGTTAAACAAAAGAAACATTTATTGGCCGTATCTAGCAGTTTTTCAAATAAGGTAACGATTTTTTTCACTAATGTACAATCAAAAAACGAAAGCAAACGTATTGCGGCGGAAGAGGGTCTTTTTGCATATCATATACTATCATACACAATCATTCATTCTGGTCTATGGATTGTACAACATAAATTATAACAATTTTCGAGAGCTCGTACAAAATGTGAATCTATAATTGTGAATGTAATAGCTCCTTTCGCCATTCAACAGATGTTAGATGAACTAAAATCCATTAAATTTTTAACAATTATGGTGGACATATCAAATCATAACAATTTAAAACTGGTTCCAATTCTATAATTCGGTATTTTAATCTCCAAGAAGGAGTAAAAATTAAAAACTTATGAATTTAAAAGGAGAAACATCAAATATTTTATCAGATTATATAATAAATGTTTAAAAAAAATGTAATTTATTAAATAATGTTGTTGCATTTTCGGGTGGCGTCTTGAGAAAAGGCACAAATAACGTTTTAGCAATTAAAAATTAAAAATAAATATTTCCGGTATTGGCTGTGCTGCTCATATTCTGCACAATGCTATGCATAATAGTGCTGATATTTTGCCAACTGACTTTGAACTCATAATTAATAAAATATTTCAGCATTTTCATATTTATACAGTCCGTATAGAAAAATTAAAGGATTTTTGCGATTTTGTTAGTATTGAGTACAAAAGTCAAAAATATTTTATGATCTGTAAAAACACGTTGGTTATCTCTACAGGCAGCTGTTTCTAGAATAATAGATTTATATCCTACATTGAAATCATATTTTATGTCACAAGAAAAGTGTTCTACAGTTTTAAAAAACTTTTTTTAATGATCCTATATCCATTGCATGGTTATATTTTGTACCAAGTCAGTTGAAGGTGGTATGTGATACAATATAAATAGGATAGAAGGTGATCATATATTATCGACATGCGAGGTATATGAAGAAATTGAAGTGTTATATGTGGTAAAATAAAAAATCTGAAAAATCAACATTTTTTTACATCAACTTATTTCAGATCTTGATAAGAACAAACTGTACAGTGAAAAAAAACTTATTGAGATAACTGATGAGTTTTATGACACGTTTTTATTGTACGTGGAAAAATGGAGATATCACTTTGAACCACTAAAAGTTTTTCTTTGGATTCAAGTTCTATAGATCTTCCTATTTGGAGTGAAATTCAAGAAAGTTTTAAATATATTATTAAGAATAATTCAACATTGAAATTCGGTGAAGTTAATTTTTTTAACGAATTTAATTATGTGATATATGTAATGAAGGTTAAAATGCAAAACTGGAAAAATGGTTCAAAAGCCAAAGATAAGGTGGTGTGAAATATTTAAAATTCTAGAAAAAAATAACATTACAATTAAATATTTTATTGTTATATTAGAGTATTCAATGGCTATTCCAGGAACTAACGCGTCGGTAGAAAGAGTATTTTCAATTACAAATGTTTTAAGGACAGATGAGATCGAAAAGTCGATTTCTTGTGGACACAATTAGATCGATAATAATCGTAAAACAACATTTTAAAAATGTTTAATGTAAGTACAGAATTTCATACATTTCTTTTAGAACACCCACAATTATTAAAACTAATTACTTCTTCAGTAAAATATGAAAACTTTAACGTATATAATTGCTTATTTCACTACGCTATGCTATGTATTCATAATATTTTTTTCTGCGATTTTTATTTTAATATAAAGTCGTATAATTATTTTAACTTTCTACCACCACAAGAAAATCATATTCATCTGTCTAATCTATTGTCTGTTATTTTAATACTAATAATAATATTTAAAACATATTATATACTTATGTGCATATAGTTGTGTCTTGGATTAAAAACAATCAACTGCGTGAGTATTTCCAGGAGTGCATAGAGCGTTTGTTATTAACTGGCGTTATAAATAAAACGATTTCCTTTCCATATAAAGCGTAATGGTATATATGGCCATATGGGACAGAATCACATTGTCGGGATATAAAAATATAAGGCCATAGCAAAATTATACGAGCGTAATATTAAAACGGTCGGTAGAATAATAATTACTATATTATTATATTACCTATACTTTTTTTTTTTTTTTTTAAATATTTTAATATATTATTTTTATGATACGTCAGTAGAGGCGACGGTATTCTGATACTGATACGGACATACGGTAATAATTCACTAATTTTGAAAAAAAAAACTGACTGTACCTATTTATGATTTTTTTTTCTTTTAATAATATTTTTTAATTATTATACAGTTGATACGACCACCGCATTTTTACCATAAACACAAAGTTCGGCTAACGAAAACTCCATTAATTTAATATTATATATACACGCCGTATACACCAGACCTGTGTCCCAACGTTGCAGTGGGTTTCGTGCGTGAAATTACGTTTTAAAGTGTTATAAAATTATGGATTAACCATCCAAGGGTATATGTACCACTGTATATGTAACAACATGATATATATAATATATATATATTAATGCGCCTCTTATAATACCTGTTTCGTTATTTTTTTCATTTATTAATAATAATAACCGGACCCATCTGTATATTAACGGCACACACATAATATTATTTTTTATTTTTTATGATTATGCAAAATGTCCCAAAATACTTCGTATATAGCAGTCTTGTGTCGAATTCATTTATGCACATGTACATATTATATACATATAGAGAGGGAGAGAGAGAGAATTCGGTTCGTTAACTTAATGACGAAACGTGTAACAATATTGCGCGATTCGTATATTATTATTCTTTTTAATTATTATTGTCGTTTGCGTCGCGCTACTCGATTACTTCGAGTATATTAGTTGCTTGGAATGTACATAATTATATACGACTGTAGTAATTTGTAGGTTTTAAAATGGTCGAGTTAATTAAATTTTCAATCGTAAAATTGATCCCGCACATTTTCTAATGATGTCAATTAAAAGAGGTACGAAAGTAAACATAAATCATCAAAAAAGAAAACGAATTAAAAGTTTGACCAATCGTATAATTATTATACATATAGCCGCTGACTTGATATTATATGTTATTCATCGGTGCGATTAATAAACGGTTAAGCCACGACGGCTTCGTCGAAAAATCATTCCACCACCGTGGCGATTGTGATTTAGGTTAGGTTCGACGATATTTTCTACATTTAAACGTCATATTATTATTACTTCGTATCCATATTTTCAAGTTTTACTCTATTTTTGCACTCATTTTACAATGACTACATGACCGATGATTTTTTTAATTTTACATTTTCTAAAATTGAATATTTTTTTCTGAAAACGTCTACGTTTAAATATCTATGTTTGAACGAATATTTTATTATTTATAAGGATATAAAGTTTCGAAAAACGGCCTGCTGAAAAGGGCAAATATTCTTTTACTTTGCGAGTTTTTACTGCACCGCACCACACCGCTCTTCCGTTACCCTAAATGCTTATAAATAATAAATTATTGATTTGGTACATACGATATAATATTTTATGTACTGAAATGTTCGGAAAAATATTCAACTCTGGGTACGAAATTAAAAACAAGTGTCGCAATTTAAGTGATGAAAAAAAATGAATAGAGATAATGTGTATAAATTCAAAATGTACTACCTATATATATATTATATAACCGCTTGGGTAGCAACACGTCAGACGCATCAGCCAATTTTTCGCATTTGGCTTATAAACAGCGCCATAATTTATTCCTAAATATTATTATATTATATTTTGCCAAGCACACCGATTTAAATTGACAACGGTTTGTTTTAATTTCTCATGTGTAAAGTGTATGACTTACCTACAACGTTGAGCTGGAATGCCAAACTCATTTTGGGTTCGGTATTTACTTGGCATTCATAGATTCCGGCGTCTCTCGGTTGAGCAAATTTAATCAGTAAGGTCCAATTGTCCGAGTTATCCGGGTGGATGACTTGGAATCTCTGGTCACTGGTATAAGTCAGCACTCCTGCCGTCAGTATGTGCAAGTCTCTCTTCCGCATCCACGATATCTGTGTGCACACGTCAGAAATCACGCCGTTAACAACAACAACAACAACAATAATAATCATAACAATAACGAGTCGTTTCGTAGTTTTTATGAGGGTTGGCATTGTATGGCCCAAGAATTATTGATGGAAAACTGCACACCTCTGATTTATGGGCGAACGTCAAACACGCTGCGACCTACTACGGGACTACTGCAGCGAGGTATGTCGTATTTAATACTATATTATTAATGTTATATTATATGAAGACCGATAAAAATATCACCGTGAAAATAATATTTACCTTAAAAACATATCTGAAATAAAAAATATATCTTATGAAAAAAAATGTACCTACATATTGGTTTAATATTGTCGAGTCCGAGTGTACTGCGTTAACCGTTTTTTCGCATTACTTAAAACTATAMAATTTTTACATATTATTAAATTAATAATTGATAAAATACAGTCATGTTCACTGAATCAATCAGTGAGATGAATCATGTTTGTGATTATTGATCGATCGATATTGATTTTTAGGAAGATTTCTAGCCGATATTATATTTACAGTCCATTAATCCACATAATAGCTTCTCTATAGCTTTGGTGTAACGCATTCAAAATGTTTAATTTATTTTGTATTGTGATACCTACGTTATTTTAATACTTTGAGTAATATATGCCATCATAGTTATTATAGAATAAATGCTCTCCATTGATTAAATTATTTTATATTTTGAAATAAAATTCTGGTTATTTTTGGTTTCTGAGAAATATTCGAGACAGTCAGTTTACAGAGATGGTTTATGTAAATGTTATACAAATTAAATTATTTATTTTCGAAAACACAGTTAGTTGTAAGTTGTTTAAAGTTGTAAGGGGTGGATAAATTATGCGCTATGACAAACGTCGTGAAACACCCTGTATGTTATGAATAATATGTTAACAATTATTATTATTATTATCATTTTCGAGATATTTCATGTTTTATTCGGTTGTATGCAATTATATTTTAATATATTCGTTGTCATTTTAATGGTAAGCCGAACATCATAATTTACAAACCTAATAGTAATGTGTATATGTCATACCGAATTCTAAGAAAATGAATGATAATTATTTATGTTGCTTCATACGTATATAGTTATTTTAAAAGCTTTTTTTATTTACACTCATTACGATATGTAAATGATTTGATACCTACTAAAAGTCAGTAATGACTACAAACCCCAAAACAGGCATATACTTTTATTAGTGATCAATATAGAGTTTTAAAAGATTAAAAAGGGGGACGAGTAAGTAACTGCTCTTCTGCAGTACAGTAGGAGTCGAGTGTACTTCGTATTCGGTTTTAAGCGAAGACGGTTTAACTTATTAGAAACCAATAAGGGGTTAACAAACAGTCATTATAATGTTAACTAATTTTTATATTTTTTGCTGGTTACTGCGGGTTTTCCAGATTATTAAAAAAAGTTCCGAGAATTTTCAATTTTCGTTCTCCTTATTTACCAACTAAATCCAATCTTCTACTAGAAATTCTCATTGAAGTTAATGATCAGATAATTTCTCTGCTGGAAAAAATGTCTTCAGACAAACAAAAAATAAAATATATATCATTGTAATGATCACTCTGCCCAGAATCTTAAATGCGTTGTACAGTTTGTGTTTATAATTTTAGCGTGGAAACCTTATCAACTACCTTTCAATCGAATATAATTTGGTATTATAGTGATAGAAAATGAATGAAATTACATTCAATCATACAAAATATAAATACAGTTTTCCCATTAATATTCTTTTATTGAATAAATAATAACCTAAATAAATTACATTTTTATAAAAGAAAACAAATAATTGTAAATACCAACAAATCAATATTTATTTATGTGTATAAAATGTGTGTATCGATGTCATGATATCAAATCAGATAAAACAGTGAAAAAAATCTGTGATAAAAAAAAAAATTGGATATTTCTATAGATTTTGGTATAATTCAATGGCAAAAACAATAATATTTAAAACATAACTGTGGAAAAATGCGTAGTGGCCCAAGCAGTAAAAACTAGCCAAAATTGTACTCATCATCATTTTTGAAACGATTATCGCAACCTTGTATATTACAATTAAATATTATTACCACGGAGGTTCAAGAAAATTGGAAATAAAAGTTCAACAATATTGCCAAGTTTCATTCATTATTATATAAATTGATTTCTTCTTCAACCCATCGAAATCTGTATTGTACTCATATATTTTCACGGTTTGTTCGATAGTTCCATTAGATGATTTGTCGTTGAGGATTAGTAAGTGGAAATGGATTTGAGGCACTTGGCTCACTTCACTCGTCTCGGCACAAGGCAGTGATTTATTATATTATTATATCATTTTTAATTTGATTGCGATGAATAATGTTACGATAAATCATGGAATTCGAAAAACGATTTTAACCGGAATACATATTATACTTACATGTTTATAGTACATTTTTCAAATTTTAAGTACTCATAAAAATAATTGATGAGATAAGATTTAAGAATTTATTGAACGTTAAAATATGATAGAGCAACGTTTTGTATTAAAATGTCTATAGGTATATTTAATAACCAAAACTACAATTAATGTAACAGTGGGGGAAAAAAAAAATTTATTTAACTTTGTAACAAACTATTAAAGTTGCGCCTACTGTTTATATCAGTGACTAATGAATAAACGTTCAGAGGTACCATTAAACCTATTAAATTAAATTAAGACACATTTACAACGTAGGTATGAATCGCTTTGTTCAGAAACTAAAACAATAAACCATTACGAATGTCATTATAATTTGAAATTAAATAACCAAAAAATATAATTCCATTCAATACTATATACATTATACATATACAAAATATGGCATTTGGAATAATAATTCAGCTGAACATTTAGTAGTATTTCATTAAAATTAAAATTAAATTTTAATAAAAAAAAATAATAATAATGAAAATTGAACGAGCTAGGATTAAATTAATATTAAATTGGTAGAAGATTTGACATGATGGGAAAACCATTTCTTATTTTAAAACCAGTGCAAAATATTTATATAAATCGGTAAAAAAATCTAATTTAAGGATAAAAAAATGGTTTGTCGCAAAAATATACTATATAGGCATCTACTATAAAAACAATACGATATCGGATCTGTCATATTTTGAGGGAAGAGAGAAAAAAAAATGAATTTTCTATACCATAGTGTCTGAATAAATGAAGATAAGACTTGTTTTCAACCATTTTCTAATCTAGAAGCCGGCCTGTCGTGAGATCGCAATTACATTGAACATTTGGAAACAACTCTCTCTCTCTCTCACACTCAACAAAGTAGTAATGACTTCCGTAAATTGACTGTTGGTGTGTCGATCGAAAGAGAAATGAAAAAGAGGATTACTCGAGTATATTGTGTTATGCTCCTCCGTCAGGTATAGTGGAGAATTAATAAAGATATTTTTATTATTTACGAAATGAATTATTATAGTGAATATTAATAATTGACATTATATAAAAATATTATTCAATTTGAATAAAATACGTCGTCCCATTGATATTATAAGTGCTGAAATATATTTCAGATTATCTTTAATGTTAATATAAACTTCTTAAAACAATATTAAATGTTTGGAAAATATAATGGAAATATCTATTACAGTTAAGCTTTTAAGTATCTCCATTGGTTTTCAAGTAAATGAATACTTTTAAAAATTTTACATTATTTTAGTAATTAAAAAACGTTAAAAGAAAAAGATTATTAAACTGCTTAAAATAAATTGTTGTCGAACATTTTTTTGTTTTTAACATCAAAATTTAGTTCTTTTTTAATAATAAGATGAAACCATTTAATATCCAAAAATTTAGTTTGAACACGTTTCTATTTTATTTTTAAAGTCAATATTAATAATATCTAATTTAATATTCGCTCATTAAATTAATTAATGGATGTTTTCGATTCCGAGCAGAATGAGGAAGTTACAATATGGCTGTACAATACCTAATAGGTACGTTTTATTTGAACTGCACTTATTGTGCGGCTGCAAACGTGTTCCGAATAATTCATCAACAGTATTATAGGTAACTATCGTAATATATATGCAATGAACTGTAAGTATTGAACAAGTACTATATAATATTGTAGAATTTATTTAAATCTCCAAAATTAAAAAAAAAAATGCTATAATATTTTTTAAGTCAAATTGTTATATATTTTTTTATACCAATAAAAATAAAACAATCGATCAATAAAATATATGGTTTGAGATCACGTCTATCGAAAACGTCTAAAACACATTAAGTTTAAGTGTCTGAACCCGTCAAATATTTTTAAAACCATTACATTTTACCAAAATGTTCGAGAATATAAAAAATCATGACTAATCATTTTGCAAAATTAATTTGATTTAGAGATTTTTGTCTGATTCCTATCAAGTTTTTTTTTTAATCGAAATCATTACGTAATGTACTTTGTGGGGTTTCAAATTGTTTATACATATAATGTATGAGGTGAATAATTATTTAAAATATTGCGTATGTTCCAATTTGTTCATCGAAAATCGACTAATCCGTCAGTAGGCGAACTTCATTTTTTTTTTAAATTTATTATTACGAGGCGACCGTTCTTTGTTTTTAAATTCGAAAAAAACAAATAAGCTTATTATTACTATCCCGCCAGAGTGGCCTTAGGCGACTATTCGTTTGTAGTGTAGTGGACTCCTGCACGAATGGAGTGCATATTAATATTATATAATGACAAATGCGATACCTATCTAATCTTTTTGAAATTCGGTTACCGTCGTATAAAATTTACGAATTTCGAAAAAAAGGCACATGCCTTAAGGGGATTCATTATATTTTTCTTTCTTTGTTAAATGCACGCGACGGAATTTTAGACGTGTTCTTTGCCAAACGCACCAATTATTGATTTAATAGAGCGATGTTAATTATTCTAAAAAAATAGATTTGAATTTTTCATCAAGACTAATTGAGTTTAAATTACTCACATTTTTTATATAATCTAACAAATTCAAAAAAACCGTTGCATTGAAACATTTTTATTTTTC